GTCCGGGACACGAACCACGGTCGACTACGTGGGAGTCCAGCGACATAGCCATTACGCTAACTGCTGGTTCCCTAGGTTTTTCATAGTATGCATTTTCCATGTACTTTTTGAAGACCCCTTATAATTATTATCACATACTGTCAGGTAGGACTTATCTCCCCTTATTGCCCCATATTTTTCAAAGTCATCTTGGATATTCTTACTCTTATATGAATTTCAGTCAGCTTTTCTAGTTGCAGAATAGATAAATTCAAAACAAATCTTACTATATTTATAGACGAGTGTCTTTCCATGATGTCTAGCCTTCTTTTATATTCCTCAGTCAGAGCATTTCAAATGTTTCTTAACATAGATTTTTTAAAAATTTATTTTCCTTGTTACTGTATTTTTTTTCTGTTGATTTTATAAGTGGTATCTTTCTTATTGTACCTTTGAGCAGTTTTTTACATTTAAAACTCTGTTGCCTTGGGGCTGGCAGGTGGTATGGTGGTTAGAAGCGTTGGACTCCCACATGTGTGACCACGATTTGAGTCCTGGAACTGGCGGCTTGCTTTCTCACTTTCGCTCTTGCTCTTGCTCTCACTCTGGCTCTCTGGTCAAATTAAAATAAATAAGTAAAGGAAGGAAGGAAGGAAGAAAGTTAAATGAAATAATTCTTTAAAAAAAGAAACAAAACTCTGTTGCCTTTATATTAGCTTTATGATCAGTCATCTTTTATTATCTGTAGTCTTTTTTTTTTTTTTTAAGTTGCCAGAGGGCATGTGTGTTCACAAGAGAATCCCCCAATGGGTTGTGGTCTCCATTTTGGGTGTATATGCATGTGTGTACCATGTTTTTAAAGCCACTGAGACTAAGATTCAAACCAAGATGGCTATGTGAGAGCTGGCTCCCTTAACTAGGCTATAGGGCCAACTGCTCTATTCATTTTTCAATCAATTATCTGCTCTATTGGCAAATGATACTTAGAATTTCTTTCTTTTCAATTTTTATTCTTTCTCCTCTCTAATTATATCGTGATAATTTCTCTAAAAATTTAATAGCAATGATCTATAACAGTAAGCATAGAAACAGCCAGGGCCTGGTGTTTAAGGCCACTGGATCACACATGCAGCCATGTGGTCTGAGTCTCAGACCCAGCATTTGAAAACACTCTGTTTATATGTGCGTGTGTGCCCAGATTCATGAAAGGAGGGAGAGAAATGGAGAAGGGAATTATTGTATGACCATTCTCATGAGGAATGCTTTTTTTGTTCTCTCTCTTTCTCTCTAGTAAGCACATGTACCCTTGGGCATATTTAAAACAACAAAAAACAAGAATAGCCACTGACATAAATGGGAATACTTTCAATTTTTCCTTCATTAAATGTGATGGTATTTTTTTGCTCGATGCACTATTTGTTTTAAAAATTACGTTATGGGGACCAGCAGATGGCATAATGGTTATGTTGCTGGACTCCCACATCGTCGACTGCGGTTCAAGTTTTAGACCTGGCAGCTTAAAACTCATGCTGGGAGCGTGTGCATATGTGCCCAAGACCCTGAAAAGAGACTGGAGGAAATGGGATTGCAGCATGGCCATCCCCCCAGGGGATGATTTCTCATTTTCTATCTCTCTGTCTCTCTGGCAAGCACACATGCCCTATAGCAGAAATCTCTCGAGAGGAAAAAAAAAGAAAAAGAAAGAAAATTATGTTACGGAAATAGCCATTCTACTTTTTTCCAATTTTTTCTTAAAAGTGAATGTGGAATTTTATCAGATTCAAATTCAGCATCTATAAATTATTGTATCATTTTTCCTCTTTTTTCTATTAATATGGCAAATTATTCCATTTCTGAAAAGGCTCCACTCGATCATTTTATTGTAATGTGATGGTAATGTGTCACAGGATACCACTTTCCAATATTTTATCTGGAGTTTTGTCCAGAGATCTTATAAGTGAGATTGTCTTTAAGGTTTGTGTATGTGCCTGTGCTATCCTTGACAGATTTATTTCTTAAGAGAGATTTTTTGCTAGAGGGCACATGCACTTGCCAGAGAGATAGAGGAAGACAAAGCGAGAAGTCACCGCCTGGGGGGATGGCCACATCATAGTCCCTTCTCCTTCATTCTCCTCTCAGGATTTTGGGCATGCGTGCACACATGCCTGGCTTGAGTTTCAAGCCTTCAGGTCCAGGACTCAAACTGAGGTTGGCCATGTGGGAGTCCAGAGATGTAACTATTATGCCATCTGCTGGTCCCATCCTTGGCAAACTTTTATAAACATGATCTTGACTTAATGAGAAGGGTTTTGAAGTTTCCTGTATTTCTCAGGTTTTCTATGTATTTTATAGAATTAAACAAAATAGTCTGTTCTTTTCTACTTTTTTCTGTGGTTTCTCTATTTTTCTTTCTTTCTATAGTTGCCCCTTGAACAACACAGGTTTAAACTGTACAGATCCATTTATATGTGGATTTTTTTCAGTGAATGTATTGAAAAGTTTTTTTGATTTATGACAATTAGGAAAAATAGTGTTGGAGAACTGCAACAAACAAAAAGATGTAGTATTAAATCATGACTGCATCAGATGAACTGTAGTACATTGTATACATTTTTAATGTTCTTATTTTTTTAAACATTCCATTACATACATTTTTTTTTTTTTAGAGGTTTTTGCTATAGGGCACATGTGCTCACCAGACAGACACAGAGAGACAGAAAGCGAGAAATCAACCCCCAGGGGGATGGCCACACCGCAATCTCTTCTCCTCTATTCTCCTCTCAGGATCTTGGGTGCACACGCGCCCGGTGTGAATTTAAGCCACCAGGTCCGGGACTCGAACTGCAGTTGACCACATGGGAGTCCAGCGACATAGCCACTATGTTAACTGCTGGTCCCTCCAGTTTATACTATTGATACTATAATAATTTTATAGTCACCTCGTATTGCTATTGCCATGAGCTCAAGTGTTGCAAGTGTCCTAAAACACTATGTGAAGGGCTGCTAGGTGGCATGATAGTTAAGGCTGCTGGACACTCCCACATGGCTGACCTGGGTTTGAGTCCTAGATCTGGTGGCTTGCTTTCTCACTTCCTTTCTCCCTCCCTCACACTGTCCCTTTCTGGACAAATTAAAATAAATAAATTAATTAAATTAAATTCTAAAAAAAACACTATGTGGAGCTAATCATTGCTGCATGAGCACTTTCTCTCTCCAATAAAATATCACAGTGAAAAGTGATTTCACAATTTCATGTTTAGTACAGTACCATAAACCTTTCATAATACCCTGGGACCTATATGAAGTACCACTAGTAATACGGGAAATGCTCCTGAAAATTGGAGAAAAGTCATGACACCACAAGAAAAAGTTAAATTGTTTGATATATACGTAGATTGAGGTCTGCAGCTATGGGTGTCTGGCATTTAAACAGTAGCTATTAGTAGTTAAGTTTTTGGGGAGTCACAAATTATACATAGATTTTTGATAATGTACACTGTGGTTAGGGATGCCAACCTGTGATGTTCAAGGGTCAGCTCTATTTGTGTTTTCCTCCCTTTTTCTTGACTTCTTTCTTTCTTTCTTTTTTTTTTTTTTTTTTTGAGAGGTTTTTTCACTATAGGGCGCGTGCGCTCGCCAGACAGAGACAGAAAGCGAGCAATCACCCCCCAGGGGGGATAGTCACACCACAATCCCTTCTCCTCCATTCTCCTCTCGGGATCTTGGGCACGCACACACATGTGCCCGGCGTGAGTTTTAAGCCACCAGGTCCAGGACGTGAACCGTAGTCGACTATGTGGGAGTCCAGTGACATAGCCATTACGCTAACTGCTGGTTCCCTTTCTTGACTTCTTGAGTTAACCATTATTTTTTCTCTTTTCTTTCCTCCCTGTTTTCCTTCCTCCTTTTTTACCAAAGAAATGGCTCAGATTTATTTCATAGTGCTAGCATTTTTTTTTTTACTGATTTCTGTGTTTATTTTTATTCCTTTTTTCTACTTAAGCATATTGGACATACTTCTCAGCATGGTCTTTTTACTGTTTTCTTGAGTTATTCATTCTTTGCTCATTCTTTTCTATTACTGTTCTAGTTACTTAATGCCATGTAATATATTAACCTAAAAGCTTAACTGGTTTAAAACAACTGCAATCATTGTATTATTGCTGTTGGCTTCAGTAGTAAGGAATTTGAAAAGGGCTCAACTAGGAACCAGCAGATGGTGTAATGGTTACATCACTGGACTTCTACGTAGTTGACTGGGTTTTGGGTCCTGGACCTGCAGCTTGAAACTCACTCCAGGCACGAGTGTGTATATGTCCAAGATCCTGAGAGGAGAATGGAAGAGAAGGGATTGCAGTGTGGCCATACCCCTTGAGGGGTGATTTCTTGCTTTCTGTCTTTCTCTTTCTCTGTCTCTCCAGCGAGTACATGCACCCTATAGCAAAAATCTCTCTTAAAAAAAAAAGAAGAAAGAAAAGGGCTCAGCTGGATGGTTTGGTTGTTATTTGTGCTGGTGCTGAGACAGTGGGGGACTAGAGCAACAGAGACTGGCAGGTATCACCCTCTTTAAGGCCTTTCTATGTGCTCACTCTCTCTCTCTCTCTCTCTCTCTTTTTTTTTTTTTTTTTTAAGATTTTTGCCATAGAGTGTATACACTCAACAGAGTAAGATAGGGGGAAAGTGAGAAATTATCCCCCAAGGGGGATGGCATGGATCACTATTTCATTCCTTCTTATACTGAATACGTACTGAATACTGAATAATATGTTCTTTCATATAGATATACAACATTTTGTTTATCTTCTCATTAGTTGATGGACATTTGGATTGTTTTTACTTTTTGACTGTTATGAATTATGAATGTTGCTTTAAGCATTAATTTATCAGTTTTTGTGTGAATGTATGTTTTTATTTTTGTTGGAATATACCTACAAGTATAATAGCTTAATCATAGGGTATCTCTATATTTAACCTAACAGACTGTTTTCACAGCAACTGCACCATTTTACATTTCTTCCAGTAGTATATAGGGATTCCAGTTTCTTCATATACTCCCCAACATATGTTATTATTTGTCTTTTTGGTTATAGCTACAGAGTGTGAAGTGGTGTCTCATTGAGAAATTTTTGTTGGTGGTGGTGTGATGGTTTTAAGTTTCTTTCTTCCTTGAGTGTGCTGGAGGGGAGTGGGGAAAGAAAAGGAGATGACACTGTCAACAAGGTCTTGGTACTGTTGTCCAGTAGCCAGCCTTGGATAGTGGGAATGCGTATGCCTGACATTCTTGGGGAGGTTTCCAGACATGAAGCCAGAACCCTCCCAGGTAGATCAGCCTTGGAGATTCATAATTTAACTACTGCAATATTGTTCAACCTCTCATTGTGGTTTTGATTTTCATTTCCATATGGCCAGTGATGTTGAACATCTTTTATATACTTATTGGTCATTTTTATGTCCTTTTTGGATTTTTAATATATTCTTTGGAGAAATTACAGTTTTTTAAAGAGGTTTTTGCCTTTAGGCACATACACTCACTAGATAGAGACAGAGATGGTGAGAGGGAAGGTAAGAAATCACTCTTGGGGATGGTGACACTGCAGTACCTTCTCCATTCTCCTCCTGGGATCTTGGGCACGCACACACACGTGCCTAGAGTGATTTTTTTTTTTTTTTGAGAGAGATTTTTGCTATAGGGAGTGTGCACTCACCAGAAAGACAGAGACAGAGAGACAGAAAGCAAGAAATCAGCCCCCCCGGGGGGATGGCCACGCTGCAATCCCTTCCTCTCCATTCTCCTTTTGGGACCTTGGGCATGCACGCACACGCACCCGGCATGAGTTTAAGCCACTGGGTCCAGGACTTGAACCACAGTCGACTACGTGGGAGTCCAGTGACAATAGCCATTACACTAACTGCTGATCTCCCTAGCATGATTTTTAAATGTGTTATCTTTTTATGTTGAGTCTCTATATTAAAACACTATACCTTTTTTCTTTTTAAAATTTTGCCAGAGGCACATGCTCTTGCTAGAGAGAGAAAGAGAAGGAAAGCAAGAAAGTACTCATGGGGGATAGTCATACTACAATCCCTTCTCCTCCATTTTTTTCCCTCCCTTTGGGATTTTGGGCATACATGTACACACACTCGGCATGATTTTCAAGCTACTAGCTTTGACACTCAACTATGTGTCACTCAACTAGATCATTCAGGATCTAGCTGCCTTTATCACCAGACTATGAGCTCCCCCCCCCCGCCTCTTTTATTTTGACCTGCGTATGTGCACTCACTAGAGAGAGAGAGAGCGGGAGAATGCACCCCCTAGTGAGCTGAAGTTAGGACACAATTTCTTCTCCGTTTCTTCATCCCACTGGGATGCTGGACACACACACACACACACACACACACACACACACACACATTCCCAACATGTTCCTCAAGCCACTGGGTCCAAGATTTGAACCACACAGTTGGCTATGTGGGATCCAGCTCCCTTGACTGTTAGGCCATGGGGCCAGCCTTATATTGTCTTGTTTTAATTTTCATTTTGCTAATTACTAAAGAGATTTAAATTATTTTTTAAAAATGAATTAGTTTATTCAACTTTATTTATTTATTTTTATGTGACCAGAGATGGACAGAGAGTGAGAGAGAGGTAAAGTGAGAAAGCAAGTTACCAGGTCTAGAACTTGAACCACAGTTGGCCATGTGGGAGTCCAGCGCCCTTAACCACCATGCCACCTGCCAGCCCCAGAGATTTAAATTCTTTTCATATGTTTATTGGACATTTCTTATTCCCCTACTGTGTTAGCATCCTTTCATTATTTCATCAATTATGCAGTTATTTTGTTTGTTTTAGTGGTCTCAGAGGTAGGTTAAACTGTAATTCAACTATAACTTAAGCTGTAGTTTGTGAATGGCTGTTTTGATTCTTACAGATACTATAGTGTCGAATTTCAATGTTAAAGTAAATATGGAGAACGGAAACCTCTGTTTTTCCTTCTTTTCTGTTCTGTCTCAGAAGCTCAATGTAAGTACATATGGAGGCATAGGCATAGGAAAAAATGAATTATTATTAAAATTTCATTTTTTCTTAGACAAATAAACCTCAGACATCACGACCCAATCTCATCAAACCAGCTGCCCAGTGGCAAGATCTGAAAAGATTGGGAGAAGAAAGGCCTAAAAAGTCTAGAGCAGCATTTGAATCAGATAAGCGCAGCTATTTTTCAGTGTGTAACAACCCATTATTTGATTCCGGGGCACAGGATGATTCTGAGGATGACTATGGAGAATTTCTGGATCTTGGGCCTCCTGGAGTCTCTGAATTCACTAAGTCAAGTGGCCAAACAGAAAGAGAACCCAAACCTGGACCAAGTCATAACCAAACAGCAAATGACATCATCAACCCCAGATCAGAGCCAAAAGTCATTATCTTGGAAGAAGCTAACCTTCATTTTCCAGAAAGTGATCCTTTGGAAATTCAGAACCAGTCATCTGAAGACTCAGAGGCAGAGCTTTCATCAAATCTTGGAGAGTCAACTGCTATGGTTGATGATCAAGCCATCGAAGAAGATTGCTGGTTAGATCATCCTTACTTCCAGTCTCTAAACCAACAGCCCCGTGAGGTAACAAACCAGGTTGTTCCTCAGGAGCGGCAGTCTGTAGGAGAACTGGGCCCCTTTTTGTTTCAGCATGAACTACAAGGGCCAGCGTTTCCAAGGCCAGCTTTTCCAAGACCAGAACCCCAGCAGGATGGGATCCCAGGCCCCTCTTCTCCTCAGCCTGCTCATCCTCTAGGAGAGCTTGAAGACCAACAGTTAGCAATAGATGATGAAGAACCAGGTCCAGCCTTTCCACTGCATAGATCTCAGGAACCAAATTTGGAAAACATTTGGGGACAAGAAGCTGCTGAAGTAGATCAAGAACTCATTGCACTACTAGTGAAAGAAACAGTAAGTTTTATTTATATTTTATCAAGCAAATTATTTTTGATATATATATATATATAGTTTTCTTTCATCGCCAAAAAAAGAAAAGTTGTGTATGTGGTCTTCATTTCCATAAGAAGTATGTATTATAGAGGGACTAACAAGTGGCATAGTAGTTATGCCCCACATGGTCGACTGCTGTTCGAGTCCCAGACTCAGGGGCTTCAAACTCGTACTAGGCACGTGTGCATGCTTGCCCAAGATCTCAGGAGGAGAATGGAGGAGAAAGGATTGCAGCATGGCCATTCCCCCGGGGGGTGATTTCTCGCTTTCTATCTGTCTCTCTCTGGTGAGCACACATACTCTGTAACAACCCCCCACCACCACCAAAAAAAAAGAAGTATATATTGTATATATAGAGAATAGAAGAAAAAAAAAACTGTGAAGACATGAAGATGGAATTAGGATTCTTCATCTGTACTTAACCCTCCAGGAAGCCCTCTGAGATTCTATCTGCATCTCATGGTACCTTGCTACTGTCATATGTACAGTCCTTACAGTTTCTTTAAGGGCCTTGAGTTCACTCGAAAATCAAACACTTGAGCACATTTATTTGTATTACTTAGCTGCTGTCTAATATGGTAGCCACTAGCTTCATGTGGCAATTTATATTAATTGTATTACAGTTAAATAAGTTTACAGTTAAACAAATTCACTTTCCTGTGGTACCAATCACATGTGCTTTAATTGCCACATGGGGCTAGCAGTTAACTTATTAGGAAGCATAGAATAGAACTTTTCCATTATCATACAAAGGTCTATTTGATAGTACGATTATAATGAGTAACACAGAGATTTATGTGCATAATTGGCTGCTGTTGGTCTTTAAATAAGTCTTAACCCTACTTCCCAGACTTTTTTCATTTGGCCCACTAGGTTTTATGCTCCTTAAGGGTGGACATGGTATTATACCTTGTTTTTGGACAGCCTTTGCTTGGGCAGCAGTGCTCTACATTTGTTGAAATAATGAAGAATGAATTTCCAAAATAGGGCCAGAGGACCAGATGTTGTAAAGGGATCTTTGTGGACTTCCTCTTCTGTGTAAACTGATGAATCCATGAACTTAGTATTGAATTTTAAACCACACACAGACCTATTTTATTAGGCCCTTTCTAGTTTTTAGTCATTGTGTATGTGAAGGGACTTCACAAATGTTCATGGAAAAAGTAATTAAAATAAGAATTTTTTGAAATCCATACATAGTTTTTCATAATAATGCATTTTCCATAACCTTTTCAAAGATCCCCTCATTTTTGCAATCTGATTTTTATTGCCATTTGAAACCATTCTAGTGAATGAAATATAAATAATGTCCTTATTCCTTTCTAGGAAGCAAGATTTCCAGATGTAGCAAATGGGTACATTGAGGAAATAATTCATCTAAAGAATTACTATGATTTGAATGTGTAAGTATAATATTATGCATATTTTTTCTTTTTTTTTGGAGAGGTTTTTGCTATAGGGCACGTACACTCACCAGACAGAGAGAGACAGACAGACAGATAGAAAGTGAGAAATCACCCCCCAGGGGGGATGGCCACACCGCAGTCCCTTCTCCTCCATTCTCCTCTCGGGATCTTGGACACGCACGCACATGCACCCGGCGTGAGTTTAAGCCACCAGGTACGGGACTCGAACCATGGTCGCCTACGTGGGAGTCCAGTGACATAGCCATTATGCTATCTGCTGGTCTCTGTATTTTTTCATTTTTAAATTTTGTCAGAGAGTGCAAGCATTCACCAGAGACAAACAGACAGAAGGAAAGAGAGCAAGTATGCCCCTGTAGGGCAGGGTCATGCTGCAGTTCTTTCACCTCTCCATTCTGTGGGAATTTAGGGTACACGTACACATATGCCCAGCATATTCTTCAAGCTGCCAGGGCCAAGATTCAAACCATGTGGAATCCAGCTCCCTTAACCACCAGGCTATGGGACTGTCTTTTTTTTCTTTTTCTTTTCCCTTTTTTAGGTGATGTATATGTATGTGTGTATATATATATATATATTAAGTATACTCACATTGTCATACATCCATCACCACTATACATCTTTTTTATCTTTGTAAATTAAAACTTTGACTTTAATTCTCAGTTCCCTCCTTTCCCATATTCTGGCATCTGTCCTTTTTTTTGTCTCTGGGAGATCATGTAAGTGAAATCATACTATATAGAGTACAGATTGTATCTGGCCAAGTACAGATTGGTGATATTTGGTAATCCTATAAATTGTATAGCCATTATCATTATCTTTCTCCTCTCTTGTATAACTTCTCTTTTCCTCCAACTTCCATGTCTCTCAATCTGTGTTTTTGCCTCTCAGATGCATTTCAGACAATTTCTTTTAAAGAATTATTTATTTTATCTTATCATTATTACTATTATTATATTTTACTTTGCTATAGGGCACATGCATTTATCAGAGAGAGAAAGTGAGGAAGTAAGCCACCAGGTCCAGGATTTGAATCACGGTCAGCCATGTGGGAGTCCAGTGCCTTTAGTACTATGCCACCTGCTGGCCTCCAGACAGTTTCTTTAGAACTGTCTTCTAGCTCTTAATTAAAAACATATCTACTATGTACTTAATTTCAATGATTATATTTTATCCATTTTTAGTATTTTTTATTTTTTAGCACTCTTGGTTATTTTTCTAGTGTTTCCTTTACCTATATATTTTTTTTAAGAATAATTTTATTTAACTTTATTTATTTATTTTAATTTGGCCAGTGAAAGAGTGAGAGAGAGAGAAAGTGAGAAAGCAAGCTGCCAGTCTAGGACTTGAACCACGGTTGGCCACATGAGAGTCCAGCACCCTTAACCACCATGCCACGTCTAGCCCCCTTACCCACCATGCCCCCTCCCTGCCCCTCTTTTTTTTTTTTTTAGGAGAGATTTTTTGCTATGTAGCATGTGTGCTAGCTGGAGAGACAGAAATCATCCTTTAGGGCGCATGACCATGCTGCAGTCTCTTCTCCATTTTCCTCTTGGGATTTTGGGTACACACACATATGCATGCACATGCACCCAGTGTGAGCTTTAAGCCACCGGGTTCAGGACTTGAACCACAGTCAACTACATGGAAGTCTGGTGACATAACCATTATTCCATTTGCTGGTCCCTACCTATGTTTTTATTCCTTTTATTTTAGCTGTGATAAACACATCCTTGTGTTCTAAGTGTGATTCTTCTAATTGAAGGTAACCACAACTCTTAGTCTGTTTGTGCTTTGGTTTTTTGTGTATTTTGTAAGTTTAAGTTCATTTCTTGATGTCTTAGTAGAATTGGTTTCTTGAGAGGATTTGCTTTTGCATTTGTCAGATGCCCAGGGGCCATGTCAGTCTAAGATTATTTTAAGTTTTTATCTTGAAGTTTTTGGTTCACCCCAGTAGTGAAAACTCAGTCTTGAATGAGTACTAGGTCAGTTTTAGAAATAATCAGGGTTTCATTTTCCTTCTACTCAGCATCAGAGTGTCAAGGTATGCTATGCTATGTAAAAGCAAGGGCTCCTCAAGTATATTAGGATCAACAAAACCCCCAGGGGAGACTCTTGCTTCTAATATGTCTACCTTACATCTCTAGACTATTATTTTCACTTGAATTTGGGCCACTGAAAATTCCATTCAAACTTCCCAACTTATTGATGTACTTCTAAAAGTATTTGTTTTAGTAACTCATTCAACATTTTTCAATGAGAGAGTCTCCTTGGGTATTTAATAGTCCATACTGCTGGAAAAGCAAGCCATTTTATTACTTTACATGCCACTTAGCCACTCTCCTCAAACCTTTTCTCCACATTCCTGATTTTTTTAAAGAATTATTTTATTTAATTTTTAATTTATCTATTTTAATTTGACCAGAGAGGGACAGAGAAAAAGAGAGACAGAGAGCGAAAGTGAGAAAGCAAGCTGCCAGGTCCAGGACTAACCTCAGTTGGCCATGTGGGAGTCCAGTGCCCCTTAACCACTATGCCACCTGCTGGCAAGGAGAACTCTGAGTTTTGGATCAGATCAAGCATGAGATCGTATAAAGAGATGGGTAGATCTGAGTCTGACAGGCTTCCTCACTGCCTCATCCTAGGGTGCATATATTAGTGTAAAGCTAAACTTGTTTCTGTAGAAGGGAAGCCTTGTCCTTAGTTATCTATACCACTGAATATCTTTTTTTTTTTTTGGAGAGGTTTTTGCTATAGGGCATGTGTGCTCGCCAGACAGACAGAGAGAGACATAGAGACAGAAAGCGAGAAATCACCCCCCAAGGGGATGGCCACGCTGCAATCCCTTCTCCTCCATTCTCCTCTCAGGATCATGGGCATGCACGCACACGCCCCCGGCATGAGTTTTAAGCCACCAGGTCCAGGATGCAAACCGCGGTCAACTACGTGGGAGTCCAGCAACATAGCTGTTACGCTAACTGCTGGTCCTACCACTGAATATCATTTAACCTACAGGATAGTTCCATTGGCTTCTGATTTCTGCCATATGGAATTGACATCTTGCCACATTTTAATATGTGAAGTTCTTTTTTCTTTTTTTTTTTTTCTTGAAGAGGTTTCTGCTATAGAGTGTGTGCATTTGCCAGAAAGACATAGAGAGACAGAGACACAGAAAGCAAAAAATCTCTCCCCAGAGGGATGGCCATGCCACAGTCCCTTCTCCTTCATTCTCCTCTTGGGATCTTGGGCACGCACGCACACGTGCCCAATGTGAGTTTAAGCCACTGGGTCCAGGACTTGAACCATGGTCGGCTACATGGTAGTCCAGCAACATAGCCATTACGCCAACTGCTGGTCCTGATATGTAAAGTTCTTAATATTGGTCTTCATTTGTTTTTTCTTTATTTTACATTCATTCACTGTACATCATCACAGCATATAAAATGAGATTTCCCATCCAGAATACACTGTATATTGGCTTAATAGTATTACTATACATGTTGTCATCAACAAATAGTTTTTCCTTTCTTGTTTCTTACATATTTTGCATTCCCCCCCCCCCCGATTCCTTACTTACCTTCTGCCATTTCCCACCCTCCTCCCACACTGTCTCTGGTATCTATAGTTGCTTTCCATCACTTTTTTTTTTTCACATTTTATTGATATACAAAAAATAATTTTTTTTTTTTTTTTGGAGACGTTTTTGCTATAGGGTGTGTGCGCTCACCAGAAAGAGAGAGACAGAGAGACAAAAAACGAGAAATCACTCCTCCGGGGATGGTCACACTGCAGTCCCTTCTTCTCCCCATTCTCCTCTTGGGATCTTGGGCACACACGCACATGCGGCATGAGTTTAAGCCACTGCATCTGGAACTCCAAACCACGATGGACTACATAGGAGTCCAGTGACGTAGCCATTACACCATCTGCTGGTCCCTGATATACAAAAAATCTTAATTAAATACTTTCAGTACCAAGTTCAACTTATATATACATATCTGTGGATACATGTCTGACTTTAGGCATAAAAACTTAATGAATAGAATGAACATACTATAAAGTAGCACCTAGCTGAGGCTATATAGCTTACTGTGGTCATTAAATAGGTATTTTTTATGTATTTTTTAATTTGGAGAAAAGCAGTTTTAGCTTTAATAAATCAAAATTTCAAAATGTTAAGAGAAAATTTGCTTAAGGTTTAAAGCCACGAAAAAGGTTAGGATTCTATTCAGATAGTTCGTAGATGAATTTATCAGTAGCTCAAGAGAAGACAGAAAACAAAGCATAGGTGAAAGTCAGTCATGTTTTAATCAGAAGTTGTAATTTCTATTTCACCAGTTTAGTCTCATGCATTTAATCTCTCTTCTGTTTTCGTCCGATCTTTTTGTTTAAATTCTGAAAGTTAACATGCAATTTCGAACTTGTCCCTACCAATAAGTTGGTTATTTTTTGGTCTTATTTCTGTGTTTCTGTCTTTAGTTTTCCTGATATAGCACTTCCTTCAGAACTTCTTGGAGAGCTGGACTGGTGCTGGTAAATTTTTTCAGGTTTTGTTTATCTGAGAATGTTTTTGTCTTCCCATACGAAGGATAATCTTGCTGAGTATAGAATTCTTGATTGAAATTGTTTTTCACTCAACACTTTGAATGTATTTTCCCATTTTTACATCGCTTCCAATGAGAGGTCCACTGTTAATCTCATGGGATATCCTTTGTAAGTAACTTGATGTTTTTCTTTTCCCAATTTTAGAATCTTGTCTTTGTGGTTTTGGTGAATCTGGCTATGATGTGCCTTGGATAAGATTTTCTTGGGTTGATTCTAGGTGGGGTCCTTTGTATTTCTTAGGTCTGGATATTTGAACCCCTATCTGCTTTTAATACTTTCAAGGGAGGTTTTGATTTCCTGTATTATATCTTTTGTTTCTGACAGTTTCATTTCATTCTTTTTTATGGTGTGTATTTCCTCTTTCAACTTGTGCA